CTCTGCATCACGGTGTCAGCTGCGGAGTCGAGACTGCGTCAGGAACGCCTCGGGAAGGGGCTCCTTTGAGAATGAAATTGCTTCAGTTTGGGCCTGGTATACAGTGCCGTTCTGGAAGCATCTACGGCATTATTAGCACCACAGTCATCCTCAACAGACTTCTCTTCCCCAACAGGGCTGAGGAAGAATACGAGTATGCCTTCGATGACGAACCCACCCCATCCCCACAGGCCTATGGGGGAACCCCCAACCCCCAGACACCTGGCTACCCAGACCCCTCATCCCCACAGGTCAACCCGCAGTACAACCCACAGACGCCAGGGACGCCTGCCATGTGAGTCCCCTGGGGCCAGCGCCGAGCTACCCCTGCCCAAACCCCCACTGCCACCACTGCCTTTCCCTGTCCTGCCTCAACAAATACTGCTGCTTTCCTTGTCTCTGCAGGTACAACACAGACCAGTTCTCCCCCTATGCCGCCCCCTCCCCGCAAGGCTCCTATCAGCCTAGCCCCAGCCCCCAGAGCTACCACCAGGTGGCACCTAGCCCAGCTGGGTACCAGAACACCCACTCTCCGGCCAGCTACCACCCCACGCCCTCGCCCATGGCCTATCAGGTACCAGTCGGCTGCCTGCGCTTGCGGGTGGTGGGCTAGGGCGGGTCTCAGGCCTGTAGGATGACTCTTCCCAATGGCGTTCCCTCTTCCCCTTGCAGGCCAGCCCCAGCCCCAGCCCTGTTGGCTACAGTCCGATGACACCTGGAGCCCCCTCCCCTGGTGGCTACAACCCCCACACACCAGGCTCAGGCATTGAGCAGAACTCTAGCGACTGGGTAACCACTGACATCCAGGTGAAGGTGCGGGACACCTACCTGGATACACAGGTGGTGGGACAGACAGGTGTCATCCGCAGCGTCACGGTACGTGGGGCCTGGGGTGGCGGGTTGGGCAGGCATCCTCTCCTTGGTGCCCCTTGATCTCTGTGGTTACTTTTTATTTCTTTTAACTGTCTAACCACATGTTCAAGTACCCATTTACAGCTGAAAAAACAGAGGAGGAAAGGTTTGGAAAGCAGGGCTTTCTGCCTGCTCTGCTCACTCTGCCTGTCGCGCTCTCAGCTGAGGCCCCGTAGCCTGGAACAGTGCCTGGCACACGAGTGTGTTTGCTTTTTGACATATTCCTTTGAGAGATAGTTCAGTAACTTGTACCGAGTGCTGCCTCTGGGCCAGGCTCAGGCTTAGCGCCAGGCACCTGCACCCTGGGTTCTCCCTGCCCTAAACTCACCAAGTCCCCTCCAGCCTCAGGGCTTTGCACGTATCCTTTGTCTTGGTTCCACTGTTTGTCTAGTTAACGCCTGCTGACCCTTCAGGGAAGCGCCTAGGTTATCTCAGGTCTGCCTCGGACAGGTCCGTGTCATCTACCTCCTGCCTGAAAGCTTGACATTTGCCCTAGTGTGATGCTGTGATTATAAAGCCTGGGTTTTATTCCTTAGGATCCCTACGTCCTAGGTGAAGGACCGGCGCCTTTTGGCCCTTTCATAAATATTAATTGAATTAATTAAAAAACATCAGAGGCCAAGACAGTTTCTGCCCTCATGGACCTCACATTCCACTGGGGGAGATAGACATGTCTCTAGACAGTGACAGCCCAGAGTGGGTATAGCTGGGATGGGGGAAACCCAGAGAGCAAGGGGAGCTATCAGGAGTCATGTTACCCAACTTCGGGGGAATCAGGGTGGGCTTTCTGGAGGAGACGTCTGAGCTGAGACCTGAAGAATGAATAGGAGTCAGCTAAGAAATGACTGGGGTTGAATGTGTCCCAAATGGAGGACGTTTCATGTGCAAAGGCCTGGAGGTGAGGGAAAGCCTGGCAGATGTGGGTAGCTGAAGTATGTTTGTTGTGGCTGGAACATAAAGAGGCAAGGGGAACAGGGAGGATGAGACCGGGGAAGTGGCCAGGGCCAGGCCGCGTGCCAGCCTGGACTGTCTGCAGGGCACTGGGGAGTTATGGAGGAATCTAAGCAGGAGAGTGGTGGGATGGGATCTGTGATTTGGAATGAATTCTGTGTTGCTGTATCAGGGATATATTGGGAGTGGTGAGACTGGAGCCAGGAGCCCAGGGGGCGATTAGGCTGCACTAGGGTGGGGCTGCAGGGGAGAGAGGTGGGAGGTAGGTGAGAAAGACCTTTAGGAATAACATTTATTGGGTGTTGGGCAGCAGGGAGGGGGGGCATGGGAAATATACACAACCTTAACATTTGTACCCCTATAATATGCTGAAATTTAAAAAAAAAAGAAATAAAGACCTTCAGGAGGCAGAATGGACAGGCCTCAGAGCTGGAGGGTTGTTGGTGAGGGAGGTGACCAAGATGGGGTCCAGAGCTCTTGCTGGGGATTGTCCTTGGGCCCAGGGCCCAGGAGGAGGAGGTGTGGGGAAGAAGCTTAGGCTAGTTTGGGACAGAGTCAAGTGCCAGAAAAGCAGTCTCCCTTTTGGCCTAAGTTAGTTTTATTCTGGTGCTTCCCTTTGCTGATCAGGTTGCCCCTGGCCACCCACCCTGTCCCACAAACCACAGGCCCCAGGCCTTGGAACCAGGCCCAGCTTTGGCCCTTCCTTTCCCTGTGTCAGAAAGTGACTTGATTTCTCAGAATGAGTCCTGAGCCTGTGCCCCCTGTAGTGTGGGCCTTAGCCCTGTGTTGGGAGCAGGACAAGCTGACCAGGCTGTCTCCACCCTCCAGGGAGGCATGTGCTCCGTGTACCTCAAGGACAGTGAGAAGGTTGTCAGCATTTCCAGTGAGCACCTGGAGCCCATCACCCCCACCAAGAATAACAAGGTAAGGGGAGGGGGCGAGGAGATGGGCGGGGCAGTGGATTGCTGACATGGGACCCTGACCACATGCCTCCCACCCCCAGGTAAAAGTGATCCTGGGTGAGGATCGGGAAGCCACAGGTGTCCTATTGAGCATCGATGGTGAGGATGGCATTGTCCGCATGGACCTTGACGAGCAGCTCAAGATTCTCAACCTCCGCTTCCTGGGGAAGCTCCTGGAAGCCTAAGTCAGGCAGAGTGGGTGGACTTCGGCAGATAATCTCGCAGATGAAGAGTGACCCTCCTCCCTGGCCCCCTTGGCCCTGACGCAAGATCCTGGGCCTGGGGCAGGACTAGGCTGATCTTTCTGAATTTCCTTTTCTTTTCCTTTCTGGGTTTCCATCTTCTCCCTCCCTGATACTCATGGGAATCAGAGTAGAGTCTGATTCCCAACTTCTTATACTTCCTCCCTCCAGCTTGCTTTTGTGTTAGGTTCTTTCAATAAAAAGAGGCTGTTTGGTCAAAAGTCCTGCGTGTGTGTGACAGAGGGGTCTTTTTGTAAGTGGAGTTATTTATTTGCAGACTCCACTTCCTTGCTTTGTGGTTGGGGCAAATAACTTGGTCCTACCTAAGTCCTGTTTCCCCATCTAGAAGATAATTATAGTACCTGGCCCAGAGGACTGTTGAGAGCAATGTATTAGAGCACATCAGAAAGAGATGGTTAAAACAGAACTTGCCATGTGATTGATGAAGTGGTGTCTTATTCAGGCGTGACTTATGCTACGTGAAATCACAGTCACTGTGCCCCAGGAAACCTAAGTTCCCCCTGTGGTGCTGCATACAGCACTCAATGGTGCTTTTTATTGAGCCCTAATAGCAGTGACACCAAAATTGCTGTAGCTTGTCTGATGACTTGGGGGCATGGGTAGGAGCAGTATAGAGAATGTGGTTTTTAGTTCCTTGAACCTCCTTCCCTTCATTTTTCATGACTTTTTACAAATGTATTATAAAATATTTTAGATGTTCAAAAAGATATACCAGAACACCCATGTCCCCATTACCCAGCTTAGGAAATAATATGTACTACCATATAGTTAGGACCCCCTTCAGCAGCCCCTCAATCCATTCCTCTCCAAAAGTAACCATAACCCTGAATTCTGTGTCTTTCCCTTGCCTGACATTGTACATTTACTACCTTAGTATTTATCTTTTTAAAGTTTACATAAGTAGGATTGGACTTTTCTTCCACCCAAAATAATTTGGGGGCAATTCACCTCTCTATATATTATTTGGCCAATTAATTCTTTCTATTTATATTAGAGACGGGTCTCCCTCTTACTCACGTTGGTTTTAAACTCCTGACCTTGAGCAATCCGCCCACCTGGTCCTCCCAGAGTGCTAGGATTACAGAGGGGCCACCGCGCCGGCCCGCCTATAGTTTCTGATTCGTTGATTTCTCACTCACTCTCAAGCCCTACCCAGCCAGACATGCTGTGCCTTGGGCTGAGCCCCTGTTGAAATGGTTGGCTCTCTGATCCTTTGCAGAAACTCATGGTAGGAGGAAACAGGAGAGAAGCCAGATTCAGCCTCCCAGCTCCACCTGAGGAAAATAGTTTTTGAGGGCTGGCTTTTTAGCCCACTTTCTGGGCCTCAGTTTCTACTTCTGACAATTGGAAGGTGACGGCCGACTCCTGCACCTGACTCGTGACTATTTGCTTTTTGGACAAATCAGGCAGATAATGGATTCCTTCATTCTGGTCTTAGCTTCACCTCTGAGTAATGGGTATGATCCCTGTTCCCGCCAAGTGAAGTTGCAGGGCGCTCTGTGCGACCCAATCAGAGCATAATGCCAGATAACTTTGTATCCCAGTTGGCTCACCCCAGGGCAGCCAGGAAAATGGTCAGAGTCAAACTCGCCGGCGGCAATCGGCCCGAAGCCTTTTGTCTCTCTCGGGCTCCCGTCCACTCGCCCCGCCTCCGCGCCCCTATTGGCGGTAGCCACGGCCCGGGAGGACGAAGAGGGTGCGAGGGGGCGGAGCCGCGTGGCGTCAGCGCAAGATGGCGGCCTCGGCGGCACTGTTCTCGCGCTTGCGGAGCGGTCTTCGGCTGGGCGCGCGGGGACTGTGCACGAGGCTGGCGACGCCGCCCCCCCGGACCCCAGAGCAGGTTAGCCGAACGCGTGTGGCGCCCTCGGTGCAGGGGCATCTGCTTGGAGTTACGGACGTATAGCCGCTGCTTGAGGGCTCTGGGACGCCGCACCTCAGGGTGTTGAATGAAACGCCGCCCGCGTTTTGGGGCGCTTCTCCGCCTACTGAGTGGACAACACTTGCTCCCTTGGGCGGGATGCTGGGGGCCCAGGTGCATCCTCTAGATCCCCGCCTCCCACCCACGTGGGCGCCGGGCAAGGGCATCACCTGCTCCCGGTCTCAGTGACCACTCAGGTGATACTTGAGGGGGAGGGGCTTGGGACGCTGAGGTCCCAGCCTGGCCTGGGGCGTATTTTCTCCGCGTTGGTGGTGAGGAAGACGTTCAGGCTTCCGATTCGACCTGCCTCCATGTTGACAGAGACCCAGCCATTCTGACCTCCAAGTTTATCACTTCTGTGGCCTACTTCCCCCAAGCCCCATGAGCCCCAGACTTCCGGATATCTTAACTCTTCCTCCTGTCCCCTGTCTGCCCTCAGTCCCCTTGCTTCAGGCATCCCAATCTGGGAACCTGGCCTGTCAGCTTTTCACCCCTTAGCATCCTTGCTCCGGGCGGTCTAGTTTTGACCGTTTTGACCCTCCGAGAGGCCCAGTCTCTCAGCTGCCCCTGCAAGGGACACAATGTCCAGAGCCATGTGGATGTCTGCTTCTTGGATCTGGACCTTGATTTTTCTTGAACCGGCATGCTGGAATCATCCTGACCTTTCTTCTCTCTTGGCCGACCTCCACTTCAATCGCAGGCCGCAGAGATTGGGAGCCGCGGGGGCACTAAGGCACAGGGCCCACAGCAGCAGCCGCGCTCAGAGGGTCCCAGCTATGCCAAAAAAGTTGCGCTCTGGCTTGCTGGGCTGCTTGGAGCTGGTGGGACCGTGAGTGTTGTCTATATCTTCGGTGAGTGACACACCCACGCCACTCCCCACCCCGCCCCTATTTGGTTTTCATGACCTCCCAAATTTCACTGTGGAACCTCCCCCCTCGTACTCCTAAGAGCTTCTCTCATCTTCATGGCCTGGCTCCTTCCTCAGTAGGGCAGCAGCCAACTAGGACACCTACTTTGGAAACTGGGGAAGTCTCCTTTCTTCTGCCTTCTCCTTCTGCTTAAGGTTCTACTCTTTCTAGTTGGTTCCTGTACCAGGCTACAGGGAAGAGGGGAAGATGGAGAAGGACAGACCTGCACCAGTCTCCTAAGCTTTGTCTTGCTTCAGTACCAAAAGGCCCAGCCCTTCCCCTAGTTCCTTTATTCCTCGGAGATCTTGCCCTAGCCCCCTTTCGCTCAAAGACCCAGGAATCCTGGCTCCCACCCTCCTCGTCTCTTGAATATAGGAGTCTGTACTTTTAGCAATCTTCCCACAGACCCAAGAGTCCAGACTCATCCCCTTCCTCAAGACCCAGGAGACTGGGCCCCAGTTCCTCTCGTTCACCCCTATCTCCCTTGCAGGAAGCAACCCTGTGGATGAAAACGGTGTCAAGGTGAGGGGAAAGAGACTGAGGACTTGCCAGGAGTCCTAACCCATGGGTATGAGAGGGGATCCCTTTTGGTCTGTTTAGGCTCATTTCTGGTCTGTAGTGAGCCTGTCCCTCCCAGGGACCTTTTTCTACTGCTCTTGGGGCCCTGGAGAATCTATTTGTGGGTATGATGGGGGTTTTGCCTTTTCCATCCCAAACCTTTCATTTTTCTCTCTACCTCCCAGATTCCTGATGAGTTCGACAATGGTGAGTAAATAAGCACAGATTCTGGGGTCCCCTGACCCTCCCAACTCTGCCATTTGTAGGGATGTCTCCCTCCCCATTTGATGTCCCTGGCCCCTCCTCTTTCTACAGGTGGGGTGGGGGGCCAGCAGTTGGCTAGCTCTCAGGGGAGGAGCATTACAAAGCCTCAGCCCCCTTCCCTGGCCCCTTAGCCCCTGGAGCAGATGGTCAGGGACAGATGGGGGAGGGGAGCCCAGGGTGGGAGTGCTTGGGGAGACAGGGACGCCTATCTCCAGACACATGGCTTCCTGTGCCTTAGATTGAGCAGCTGCAGCCCCTGACCCCTCCTCTTTATGACAGCCTCTTTTTGTTACCCCCCAAGTCCCTACCCCATCCGGCTCCGTCCTCATTTCCAAAACAATGCCTCCTTCCTCCTTCCCCCTTTGGTTAACCGGCTTTTGGTGGGGAGTTTCTGACAAATTGGGTAATAGAGAGTAATTGTCAATTCTATTACACCTGTCCCTTCCCAGGAGAAAAATAAAATTGGTGGGTCCACAAAGCCACCTGTTTGTGCTGGGGAAGTTTGCAAACAGGCATGTTAATACATTGATTGTTTTAAATTGGGCAGGTGAGTAAATGCAGTTTTAACTGGACAGATGTAGAATCATACTGGCTTAAATCAATATACTGATTTAAACTGGGCAGGTAAGCATGCAGGTTTAAAATGTATAAGTTTACTAGCTTAACTGGTTTTTTTTTTTTTTGGTTTTTTTTTTGTTTTGTTTTTTTTTTTGAGACAGAGTCTCACTTTGTTGCCCAGGCTAGAGTGAGTGCCATGGCTTCAGCCTAGCTCACAGCAACCTCAATCACCTCAGCTCAAGTGATCCTACTGCCTCAGCCTCCCGAATAGCTGGGACTACAGGCATGCGCCACCATGCCTGGCTAATTTTTTGTATATATATTTTTAGTTGGCCAATTAATTTCTTTCTATTTATAGTAGAGATGGAGTCTCGCTCTTGCTTATGCTGGTTTCGAACTCCTGACCTTGAGCAATCTGCCCGCCTCGGCCTCTCAGAGTGCTAGGATTATAGGCGTGAGCCACCTCACCTGGTGGATTTTTGGTTTTTGTTTTGTTTCTGTTTTTAGTATTCTATCACTCTTATGTGGCTATTAACTGGTTTTAATATTGAGGTTTTTAAGAGGCCTATAGATAGAACGGGACTAAAAATACTGTATTGAAGTAGGCAAGCAGTCATGTAAGTTTGCTGTTTCAAACTGGATTCAATATATTCATTTAAACCAGGGTTTTTCACCATTAGCCCTATTTGATAACTTTGGACAAGGTAATTCTTTGTTGTGGGGGACTGCCCTGTGCTTTAGCAGCATCCTAGGCATATATCCACTAGATGCCAGTATTGTGACAATCAGAAATATCTCCAGAGGCTAGTTCAATGGTGCACCTGTAGCCCCTGCTACTTGGAAGGCTGAGATGGGAGGATCACTTGAGCCCAGGAGTTTGAGACCAGCCTGTTGTTTGTTTGTTTTTTGAGACAGAGTCTTACTCTGTTTCCCTGGCTAGAGTGCCGTGGCGTCAGCCTAGCTCACAGCAACCTCAAACTCCTGGGCTCAAGCAATCCTGCTGCCTCAGCCTCCCGAGTAGCTGGGACTACAGGCATGCGCCACCATGCCTGGCTAATTTTTTCTATATATTTTTAGTTGGCCAATTAATTTTCTATTTTTAGTAGAGATGGGGTCTTGCTCTTGCTCAGGCTGGTTTCAAACTCCTGACTTTGAGCAATCTGCCTGCCTCGGCCTCCCAGAGTGCTAGGATTACATGTGTGAGCCACTGTGCCTGGCCCTGAATGTGGGTTTTAAGTGGGCTGATGTATATAAACGTTCTATATTATGCCTGGGTAATCTGTGGATATGAGTATTCAGCTAAAATGGGGGCAGGTAAATAAATATCTTTGTTCCTATCTGGTGGTATATCATTATCTTCTACCTTTGGGCCTAGAAATGAGCTGGTTCATACCAGGTAGGTATGCAGACCTGTTTGTATCCAGTAGATAATAAGCCCCTGGTTTGGGAGGTTGAGCAGTGGCTTATCTTAGAATCAATCCCTTTGTGTCTGGTGTTCTCCTAGATCCAATCCTGGTACAGCAGTTGCGCCGGACATACAAATATTTCAAAGATTATAGACAGGTGAGCAGGAGCGCTGGGCCCAGTCCCGCCCCTCCCTCTCCAGGCCCGGCCTCCGTGTCTGAGTGCCCCCGTCCTGTCCCTCTCCCACAGATGATCATCGAGCCTACCAGCCCTTGCCTTCTCCCAGACCCTCTGCAGGAGCCGTACTACCAGCCGCCCTACACGCTTGTCTTGGAGCTCACCGGCGTCCTCTTGCACCCTGAGTGGTCGGTGTGTCCTGGTGGCAGGCAGTGGGCTGGGGACCTGGGCGGCTGAGTTGTGATGACGTGAGCTTCAACCCCAGCTCTGCTATGTGATCTTGGCGAGGAGGTGTCACCTCTCACTGCCTCGCTGTCCTCAACTGGGAAAAGGCAGTGATGATGATACCCACTCCGTGGGATTGCTATAGGTGTCACTTGGCACAGTAAGTGCCATAAAGGAGTTGGCTCTTATTCAGGGACCCAGACCCTCCGTCACAGCCATGTACTCCTGAACCCCTAAGAGCCACAAAGACACGGGGAGAACTCTGGTTCTGGGAATCCCTCAGGCTGGGTCTCCGCCCTCTTGGGAACTCTGGGGGTCTCTGGGTCTCGGTGTTTCACTGTCTCCGTTTCTTTGTCTCCCCAGCTGGCCACTGGCTGGAGGTTTAAGAAGCGCCCAGGCATTGAGACCTTGTTCCAGCAGCTCGCTCCTTTGTATGAAATCGTCATTTTCACTTCGGAGACGGGCATGGTGAGGCTGTGGGGCAGAGCAGGGACGGTCAGCGTGGCGGGAGGCGTGGGAGCGGCGGAGGGCCAGGGCTTGGCCTGACCTTTTCTCTCTCTCTTCCCACGCAGACTGCGTTCCCACTCATAGACAGCGTGGACCCCCATGGCTTCATCTCCTACCGTCTATTCCGGGACGCCACGAGATACATGGATGGGCACCATGTGAAGGTGCCATGTTGGGGTTGCGGGTGGGCCTCTGGGATGTGGGGGGGCTGACACTGTCTGCGGGAAAGAGGGCCCAGCTCTGACCCTAGTCTCAACGCTGCTTGCAGTTTTTCCCAGATTCAGTTCCCGCTGGCAAGACACAAGCCTGCCTCGCTGGGCCTCTGCCCTTCTTTCTCCAGAATCGGGGGGCAGGAGTGGGAGGAAAGAGGGGTCTCCCTAAAGAAGACAGTTGGGTGAATCGTAGGGATATAGTGTTTGGAAGCCGGTTTTTCTCTCTGTAACTGAGTGTTTCTGGGATTATGTGTGATTCTCATCACCCATGTGAGACCGTTTGGGGTTTGACCTGGGTCTGTTGCTGTGGCCAGTGATCTATCCAGGGGCCTGTGGGTCTGGTTTAAGTATCCATGCGTCTGAGTGTCTGTTGGTTTCTGTCTGTGTCTTGGTGGATCTGGGCTTCTGTGTTGCTTTGGGGGATTTAGAAGTTTGTGGGCTGTGGTTAAAGGTCTTAGAGGGTCTTTGGGTGTCTCTGCGGCTCCCTGGGTGTTGCACATCTCTCTACTTCTTTATCTGGGTGAGAGGTTCTTACACCTGCAACCTATCACAGTCACCTGGGACAGTGGTTCAACAGGCAAGTGCCCACCTCCCTCCCCAGAGAACCTCCGAACCAGCCTCTGTGTGCCCGGGCCCTGGGTCTAGGAATCTGTGTGACTAGCTCCCAAGTTCCTGGGATGTTTAATGCCATCATCCAAGTGGTCTTTAGGTGCCATGGTGATCCGTGTGTGTGTGTGGGGGGGGGTCGGTCTCTCTCTGTGCTGTGCATTCTTGGTGTCTCGGGACACTAACCTGACTTCTCACTCACTTCCAGGACATTTCATGTCTGAATCGGGACCCAGCTCGAGTAGTCGTTGTGGACTGCAAGAAGGAGGCCTTCAGACTACAGCCCTACAATGGCGTTGCCCTGCGGCCCTGGGACGGCAACTCTGATGACCGGGTCTTGTTGGATCTGTCTGCCTTCCTCAAGAGTGAGGCTGACCCCTGACCTCCTGGCCTCTGAACCCCAGAGCCCCTGACAGTCAAGAAGAATGATAGATGCTTGATTCTGGTTGCTTTTCATGTAAATAAAGCTGGACAGTTGAGTGTGGGAGGTCCTCGAGCATCTTGGAGTCTCTAGGAGCTGCTTAGAATGTTCGTGGTGCTCCTCTGGAATGTTTAGGGGGACGCTCAGGAAAGTTCAGGGGACCTTTCAGAGCGTTGAGAAACATTCTAGGTGGTACTGACACACACAGCCCTGCCCCCAGTGTCTGATCTTGCTACTGTGTGGGCCCTGCCTTCCTCTGGCCTTGACAAGCCTGGCTGACCCCCGACCTGTTGTGCCCGCAGCAATCGCTCTGAACGGTGTGGAGGACGTCCGGACCGTGCTGGAGCACTATGCGCTGGAGGATGACCCCCTGGCGGCTTTCAAACAGCGGCAAAGCCGGCTAGAGCAGGTCAGTGCCCAGATCCCAGACCAGAGGATCAGTCTGAGGCCGCTGAAGGAGGAGCCCTACCGTCTATTCCGGGAGCGGCCTGTCTCCGTGCTCTCTGCTTGGCTGTTTGAGCAAACACCTCTTTTTTGCCCCAGTGTCTGTCTGACCAGGGCATGTAGCACAGCCTGTCTCGTGGGGCTATTGTGAGGAGGGGGTGAGTTGATTCTGCAGCCTGCTCTGAGGACAGGAGGCAGGAAATGGCACGTGTTTGAGATAGGTCTGGAAGAGGGATTGCCCTTGGTGGTCTTGAGTAGGTCTAGCTTGTGGAGACAGACTGTGGGTTTAGATAGGTCTGGAAAGAGAGAGGATCCCTGGGCACTTGATCCAAGAGTGTGGGAAGGAGTTCTGATGGTCTTGGTGGGACCCTGCTAATTTGGAAGCCGGGCTAAGAGATGGATTGTGTCTGGGAAAGACTTTCCCAGGGGTCGAGGCTGAGGGCGACCAGATTCTGGGTTTGATTCCTGAAGGCAGGGCTAGAGCTTGGGGGCCCTCCAGCATCTGGACAGGGGTCATGGGACTCAGGGCTGGGCACTGGGGAGTGCAGGATGATGTAGTCTGGGGAAGAGGGTGGTGGGCTTTGGTCTAGGGTGTTACTAGCATCCAGGTTGTGGCAATAGGGTCTGGGATAGGATCCCAGGGTTCAGGGTAGGGGCCCTTGGGATCTAGGGAAGGGGATTGTGAGAGTTTGGGGCCTGTGAAGCTATTGGGGTTCAGGACTGAAGGCCCTGAGGGCCTGGGATTTGAGTATGGCGTCCCCCCAACATCTGAGCCTGGGTTTCTGTGGCTCATTGCTGGCTCTTACCAGTGTCTGGGCTGGGGGGCTGGGGGGTTTGGGGAAAGGGGTCTGAGCTGGGTAGAAGTCCAAAGGAGAGGTGGGCTGAGAGCTGGGACCCTGAGAGTCTGCCCACCCCAGGCTGACCCTGCTGGTCTTTTGTCCCCATCCGACCCCAGGAGGAGCAGCAGCGCCTGGCCGAGCTCTCCAAGTCCAGCAAGCAGAACTTCTTCTTCGGCTCACTCACCAGCCGCTTGTGGCCTCGCTCCAAACAGCCCTGACCTCTGGGCCTCTACAAACTCAGCGCCTGGGTCCAGAGCCCCAGGCCCCCGTGCTCCCAGACCAAGGCTTGGGCGGCCCCATGTCCAATAAATTGCATCCAGACTCCACAACTGCTGTGTCGGGAGAGTCTCCAGATGGGGGCATCAGGGTGAGGTCTGGGACTCTGGGTCATCGTCCCACGGTGGCTGATGAGCTACGAAGCACAGAGTGGGTGCTCTGCTAGATCAGGGTTGGATTTTAACCCTGATCTGCGAATCTGAAAACTTGGGTCCCCGATTGGCTGTGTCTTCTGCGTGCTGTGTGATCTGCAGAAAGTACACTCCCTCTCCACCCGATTCCCCATGGCGGAGAAGAGAAGCGAGGATGGCAACTGGGGTTTTAAAGACAGGTGGCTGCCAGGCTGCTGTGGAATAACGTAGCATGTGGGTCCAGTGGGGCCCGGGCAGACCACAGACTGCCCCCTCAAGAGGACACCTGCTACTTAGCTCCAGCCTGCTGTGGCTGGGGGAGGTGGGCCTAGAGTTGCCTGGCTGTCCAACCTTCCAATTTTTCAAAAGCTAGAAATTGTAATTTTTATTAAATCTCCCCCATACCCATCCCCCTCCCTCTTTTTTTTTTTTTTTTTTTTTTTTAAATAGAGACACAATGTCACTCTGTGGCCCAGGCTAGAGTGTAGTGGTACAATCAGCTCACTGCAGCCTCGAATTCCTGGCCTCAAGTGATCTTCCTGCCTTGGCCTCCTAAGTAGCTAGAACTACAGGCATGCGCCACCATAGCCAGCAAATTTTTTATTTTTTGTAGAAACAGTCTCACTGTGTTGCCCAGGCTGGTCTTGAATTCCTGGCCTCAAGTGATCCTTCCACCTTGACCTCTCAAAGTGCTGGGATTATAGGTGTGAGCCACCAAGCCTGAGCAAATCTTCTTATTTTTACATGTTGGCATGTAACTGAAACAGGCAGACTATGCAGTAGTGATCTCCAGTGGAACTTGCTGTGATGTTTGGTCCATGTTCTTTGGCTACACTGTCCAGTACAGTGGCCACAGAGTGTTACTGAGCTCTTGAAATGTAGCTATTATGACTGACAAACTGAAATTTTTATTTTTAAATTAAATTTAAATGGCCACATGTGTCTCCTGGCTCCTGCATTGAATTGGCACAACTGTGTATTATTTAAGAGTACGAGTTCCAGATTGGGTTTAATTCCAAGTTCTTTTTTTTTTTTGAAGCAGAGTCTCACTTTGTTGCCCAGGCTAGAGTGAGTGCCGTGGCATCAGCGTAGCTCACAGCAACCTCAAACTCCTGGGCTCAAGCAATCCTCCTGCCTCAGCCTCCCAAGTAGCTGGGACTACAGGCATGCACCACCATGCCTGGCTAATTTTTTCTACATATATATTAGTTGGCCAATTAATTTCTTTCTATTTATAGTAGAGACGGGGTCTCGCTCTTGCTCAGGCTGGTTTTGAACTCCTGACCTCAAGCAGTCCGCCCGCCTTGGCCTCCCAGAGTGCTAGGATTACAGGCGTGAGCCACCATGCCCGGCCTAATTCCAAGTTCTACCACTTCCTGCTTGGCTTGTGATCCTGGCCAGGTTACTTCGTCCCTCAGTGCCTCTGTTTCTACATTTATAAAATAATAGCTCCTACCTCACAGGCTAGGTTTGAGGGCTCAGTGAGGCACTCCCATGTAGGCTCTCAAATGGAAGTGATGTGAGCCTTAGGCAAGGCGCCTCTGCCTCAGTTTCCTCATCTTAAAGATGGTGTAGGATGAGCCAGGTGTGGTGGTTGAGGCCTATAATCCCAATTTGGGAGGGTGAGGCAGGAGGATCATTTGAGGCCAGGAGATGAGACCAGGTTGGGCAACATAATGAGACCCTATCTCTAAAAAAAATGAAGCCAGGTGCAATGGTGCACACCTGCAGTCCCAGCTACTGGGAGGCCAGGGCAGGAAGATCACTTGAGCCCAGGAGTTCAGGCTGCAGTGAGCTATAATCACGTCACTGCCTTCTAACCTGGATGATGGAGTGAAACCCTGTCTCTAAAAAAAATAAATAAAATGTTGATGGTAATACTTTGGTAGCGTGGCCGTGAGGAGTAAATGGCATAATCCATGCCAGGTTTTATATATAGATATTCACACGGGGCTTGCTACTACCAGGCCATGCTTGTTATTCACAGATTGAAATATCTTGAACCAGTTTGACTTTCACTGTCTCCCCCCGCCACCCTCTACTGTCCCAGTCCCTCCTGCTCCAGCCAGCATCTAGCGGTGGTACGTTAAATATTTCTGAAAGACCTTCCCTGGTGTGTGTTAGTTAAATGCATTTGGAACTCTGTGGGCCAGATCGAACCTCTGCACTCTAGATTTTTTTAAACGGCTCACAGGCATCCACAAAGAATTAAAATGTGCACTACCACCTGCAGCCCCGGGGTGTACTGTCTCTGATTGGGGTGAGGGGGTGGGTTTCCCGATGCCCACAGCACTCCCTAGCCTGGGAAGTCCCCGGGGTTGGGGGGAGGGCCGTGCGTTCTTTGCACGTGGCTTAGAGCATGGAGGCTGTGTACTATCAAGAAGCAGAGGTGGAGACAGAGCTTGTGTGTTTGGCAGATGCGGTGCTGGGGACGATGAGTTGACAGGGAGTGCCACCCCAAGTGTGCACCTGCCTACCACAGTGGGGGGCAAGCTAAGTCCCACGCAACCTGAGCATTGTCTGCCCGTGCTTCAGTGCCCAGTGGGTCCCCTGGTTTCTCCCCCCACCTCAGTGCTGACTTGGGGATGGCGCTGTCACGCACACCTGCTCACAGCTGGAGGGCGAGGTGAGGAAAAGGGTTGACTTGTGCACAGGGGCCTCCGGGACACTGATGCACCGTGGCCTAGGGCGTTTTCCTAAAGTGCTCTGGACGCTAGGCTGCAGTGCATCATGGTGTCGTCTGGTGCGAGGCCTGCACCGGCATTCAGGCATAATACTGCAGCGGATCTGTGGCCCCCGGACAAGGTCCTAGCATCTATTTCCTCATCCGTAAGGGCTTAATAATAGTACCTCCCGCATGCATTTGCTCATTCAACAAATATTTACTGACTGCCAGGCCCTGTTGTAGGAATTGGGGTGCAGCAGTGAACAAATGAGATTAAAGAGCTCTTGCCCTCGTGGAGCTGATGTTCTCATGCAGGAGACAGACAATGCTCAGGCATTTCTCAGGGGCTAATAAATGCATAGAGAAAAAGTATGGCAAGGAGGGGGACTTGGGGATACTGGCTTGGACTGGATGGAATGGTCAGGGAAGGCCTCTCTTTAGGAAGGGATATTTGAGCAGAGGTCGGATGAAGTGAGAAGGAAAGCCATGGGGATAGCTGAGTGTGCCAGGCATGGTTACCCCAGGGCCTTTGCACTTGCTGCTCCCTCTGTGGCCAGAAGTTTTTCCCCAGGGTCCATGTGGCTGAGATTTCTCAGAGCTGGAATCTTTTACTCTCCCAAGTGAACATCCAGGGCAGAAATTTGCTTCCTCCAATGGCTGGCTGCCCAAATTCTGTTTGAATATGTCCTGTGATGAGGAAGAAGCTCACTCCTCCACCTAACCCAATTTGCCCCTTGATAACTTCAGTCCACGAGTTCTGGCTCTACCCTTTGGGGACACAGAACCTGTCAGAGTTGGGGGAATGTGGAAGGAGGGCCTCAAATGTCAGCCTTAGAAGCTCACAGTGTATTTTGAAGGCACTAGGGAGCCATGGAAGAGTCTATGCAGGGGAAGGACATGGTCGGGGCCAGGATAGGGGCATCCACAGGGGGATGTGGAAGCTCAGAGAGGATGTGTGATCCCCTTGGAGATTATTAGGGCTTCCTGGAAAAGGTGAAGTCTTGAATGGTGAAAACGATTAAAGAAGGGACTGGAAAGACTGACTATAAATAGAGGGGAAGGAGCCTGGGATGTTCTGCACAATCTGACCCATGGGCCACCCTCGGTCAAACTCTAGGGTCCTCAGAATTGAGAGAAAACTTTAGACAGGTATTCTTTCACTCATTAAAAAATTACTGAGCGCCTACTGTATGCCTGGCTCTGCCGGGCTATGCTTCATTGATCACGGTATCATACACCTACAAAAGAAAAACATGAATATAAGTTGAGTCTGTATTTTCCCCTATACTTACTAATATTTTATAAGCATTAAATTTTTTTACTCTGGAAAAGAAGATGAGTTTGCTCCATCTAAAGGGCTTTGCTCAGGCCTGGCGCAGAGCGATTGTGACCAGATCTGGAACATCTGCTCCTAGCTGGCTTTTCTTGCCGAGGTCCTGGAATACTAAGGGGCTTCTGGAGGGCCCGGGGGGTGCCCCCCGCATTCATCCTGGGGTGGGGGCAGCGGGGCCCCTGGTACGCGAAGACGGAATTTCCTGCCCATTTGCTCTTCGCACCTTCCGGAGGCCAAACGGGCAGCCCAGCTGCGGCCCGCGGGGGAGGGGCGCGCCGCCCGGCAGATGGCGGCATTTACATACAGCTGGGAGCCCCTCTGCGCCGGGGCGCCGCGCCCGGCGTCTGGTGCAACGCGGCGTTTGGGAGGGTGGCTTTGTCTTGGGGAGCGTCAACACGAAAACACACACACACACACACGGGGCCACACAGACCCGCGGATCTTCTTCGTATCCACACACCCAGCGTTACACCCATGGGCCTCCCAAACCCGGTCCCCTCCACGCGTACGCCTGTAGTTATGCACAGCCCTGCAGAGCTTCTGCACACGCGCGCAGCCACCCGGAGACACGCGCACGGACCACAAAGTCACAGGTTCACACGACTACACAGGAGCGCGCTTACACACGCGCGCATGCGCAGAGAAGCACCCACGCGGACACACAATCTCAAAACGTCACACACTCGTGAAGTCCTGTGTACCTCTAGCCTCCCACTCAGGTGCGCGCGCGCTCTCTCTCTTTCCCCCCCCCCCCCACACACGGAATCCTGGAAGTATTTACACCCTCACGATGTGTTAATCATACACAAGTCCAGGCACACGTTGGGCCACACGATACCACGTGAACACACAATCGCGACGTCGCGTACACCCTCCAGTGGCCCTCGCGCAGCCCTCACGCACTCACGGAATCGTAAAACCGTG